AAAAAAAAAAAAAAAAAAAAAAAGTTATAACAACTTAAGGACAAAAGTACTTACTTTTTTAGGAGTCCCTAAAACTTGGCAAATCTTAAAGATTTCATCGACCTCACTTGTCCCTGGGAAAAGTGGTCTTAACGTGTATAGTTCAGCCATTATACTCCCAACAGCCCACATGTCAATGGGAGAGCTATAAACTGAAGATCTTAATAAAACTTCAGGAGCACGATACCTATGAAAATAGAAAACAAAACAAAACAAAACAGGCCATTTTGATTGTAGTTTCAGCGGTGGAATGGCAGTAGGATTTTGTTTGGTCAGGCATTTCAGTCGAGAACCAGGTATTAACTGCCTTCTCTGTATCAGGCATCTATCTGCACAATGTGTTGGGTTTATATTGACTAGCACACATTTTTCCTGACCACAAACAAGTAGTGGAGCTCAAGACAACTATAAACGAAATGTCCAGGTGGCCTAAGACAGGGACTCCAACAAATAAATGTGGAAATGCTATGTAATACGTTAAGAAAAGGCGGAGAAGCTCTGAATGGAAGCAGATACGTTCTGAATGGGAGCAGTCGTATAATTTTACAATGCATTAAATCCTGATATATTCACATGAAGGGTTGAAAACAAAAGATTAACAAAGATTTTCCCTGAGTAGTGGGCTTTTTCCCAGCTTGTTTTAAAAACATTTATTTTATTGAAGTATAATTGATTTACAATGTTAATTTCTGCTGTGCAGCAAAGCGACTCAGTTATACATATATATGCATTCTTTTTTGCAGACTTTTCCATTATGGTTTATCACAGGATATTGAATATAGTTCCCTCTGCTTGTTTATCCATCCTTCTTTTGGCTTATCTGTTTGAAAGTGCTGATTCCTCAATTGACTCAGTTTCCTTAATTGATAATATTTTTAATTAGAAAAATACTCTATTTATAAGGCAAAGGTAGCTGGTGGAGGATATTCTCAATTTTTTTTCCATGTTGAAATGCATAAACGTTTCAGCCTAAATGCTTTGCAGTATTGTCCTTTGGCTTCCATGAGTGGCTTTCTTTGACAGCTTTGAGGTATAATTTACATAACATACAATACATCCATTTAAAAGCATACAGTTCAGTGGCTTTAAGTATATTCACAAGAGGTGTGCATCCATCATCACAATCAACTTTAGAACATTTTCATCACCCCCAAAAGAAACCCCACACTTCTGCAATAGCCCTGTGCTCCCATTTCTCTAATCTACTATCTATCTATAGATTTGCCTATTCTGTCACTTCATATCAATGGAACCATACACTGTCTGGTCCTTTGTGACTGGCTTCTTTCACTGAACATGTTTCCAAGGTTTATCCATGTTGTAGCATATATCAGTACTTCTTTCTATTTATTGCTGAATAATATTCCATTGTATGGCTATACCACATTTTGTTTATCCATTCATCAGTTGATGGACATTTGGATTTTTCCCACTTTTTGGTTATTATGAGTAATGTTGCTGTGAACGTTCATGTACAAGTTTTTGTGTGGACATACGTTTTCATTTCTCTTGGGTATATACCTAGGTGTGGGATTTTGCTGGATCACATGGTAACTATATGTTTAACCACTGAGGAGCTGCCAGGCTGTTTTGTACCATTTTCCACTCCCACCAGCAAAATGTATGAGGGTTCCAGTTCCTTCACATCCTTGCCAGCACTTTTTATTATGTTTTGATATTTTTAGGAGACAAAATTGTTTTGAATATTTTGCCAAATTTAGATACTGAAAACAAGTATTCTCAATTTCATTCCATTTCAGTATAGAATCTAAATTTACCCAGTTGAAAATAGAAGCTCCTTAAAAAGATTCTTCCCTGCAAGAGGAGATTTTCCAATTCTAATTATACATTTAAAAAAGATAAAACTAGTACACTTTGAGCTCATATTTAATTTGTTCAGTTCCTCCTTTGCTTTTTTAGGGATAAATATCATTATCTTCCTGTTTGCAAACTTCATTTTCAATAATTGCAGTTTCCCATAAACTTCAAAAGTTTTGGGTTTTTGGCATCCATTTATCAAAAATTCTGAATGAAGATTTCCAAGTGATTTGAAACAAAATGCAACCAAAATATGAAGGGATTATTTACAAGAAAAGCTAGATACCACTGTAAATCACTTAAATTGACCTACAAAGTAGTTTTTCAGAGGCTCAAACAATTCTAAAATTCGAATGACAGACGGCAAAGAGAGAAAGCACATACAGCCATGCTGCAGCCGTTTTTGTAGTCAACGTCAATAGCATCACAAAAATTCTGTAGTGCAGTTACCCTCTGCGTGTATGTGTAATGTGTAAATTCTGACAACTGCAGCTTATTTTGATTGGTAGAATGCAAATTTAGCAGCTTATTTGGATGCAGTTACAAAATAGATATGCATCTTAACCAGTCCAAATAAATTTCTGCTTTCTGGGTTTCTTAATTTAGTAAGAATACTGTTTTTGTGATGCTAGGCTTCACTAAAACTTGTATTACCATGGCAAAAATAATTTTATTTTCAAAGGTTTTAACTGAAGTTAAATAGCATTCATAGTAATGTCAGACATTTCACTTTTCAAGGAATGACCTTCACTTTGATTCTCCGAATTGTGATGAAAAAAATCAAATGATTATTAGAAATAAGGTAACTGATTTTTCTCTTCGAAGCCAGTTGGAAGGCACTCATTTAAAACTGACATTGTTAATTAGCCATGTGTTGAAGTGTCAACTTGGTTTATGGGTCTCTCATGTTACCAGATCGGACCAGGGAGGAATCGGGAAGCATACAGCGGAGGTCAATCAGACGTGTCCCAGCTTGTTTTAATGAAACTATTGATAACAGGCATCAACCGAGACTGTCCGCAGCAAACCAGGACATATTGTCACTCTT